GTTTCTGTTGGTGAAACGTGCGATGGTGAGACGACAAAACGCGAGTCAACATTCTAAAATGAATCAATGTATTGATTGATACAGTAATGCACGTATATTTTCGACTTACAAGATGATGAAATGCACTTGGGGTGTCGCTGCTCTTTTTGAAAAGATTTACAGGCGAATGGGCGGAGCTTGAAGTTCCATCTGAGCTTGTGGCTGAGCCATTCTCGCAAGGACTAGAAAATCGATATATTGATTGTTATTTGCATGATAGAATGTTGGATACGAGTTTACAATACCTTTCAGTTCGCTTAATGACCAATGATTTGCTTTCGTCCGAGTCGCTACTGGACACGTTCAGCTAGAATTTTTTTCTTATTTTTGTAATTGACCTTTGCAAATAATTTGGAAAAAAATCAATACATACCTTATCATCTTCATTATGCGAATCGTTATGCGCATCGTTGTTGTCAACGTTCACCTCACATTCGTCTTCTTGTCCCTCTTTTACCAAATCAACCATAGGCTTTGTCGCTGAGAATATTATGACTTAGTTTGGGGAGATAAAAATTGTTGAATTTCAACATACTGGGTATGGGTTTGGGTAGATTATTCAACCATGCAGCAGCCAAGCCGAATCCAGGTTGGGTCATCAATGAATTCAGTACAAGCCGGTCACGGAGTCTGTTCATATCCTCAGCTGAAGATGGTAAAGATGGCTGTGGTGCTGGGGTAGGCGAAAAAAATGGCAAGCCGGAACCGGCATTAAGCACTGGAAAAAACGGATTATTGGGAGATTTCGCTTGCAAAATTTTTTTCCACCTCCAGGGTTTTGGATTTGCGGTAGGGTATTGTTGTTGATCGAATGCAAAGTGGAGTAAGGTGAATCTATACCATCCGGAGCAAGTCCCTTACCGATCACTGGTACCGTAATTGACTTTCCTTCTTCTCTGGCCTAAAAGTTATCAGTTAGCTCCAAAAGTGGGATACTCTAAAAGTCCATACCTGAATGTGCATGTGTAGGCTGGTCTTGTCTGGAAATGCCCAGTTACAGCATCGACACATAAACATGCGTGAGATTTGATGCTGCTTGTACATATGTGCTCGCAAAGTTTCATTACCTAAAGTGACAGTTTTTAATTTGATCTACACTTGTAGACGAAATATGTGTTCACTGAGTTTCTGTCTGTAGATGACCTGTGCTTT